TATAAATCTACGCCATATCCCTTACAAATCCTAACGAGAATTCGCTGAAATACAAGTTAGCCTGATATGTCATTAAGCAGACAAACGCTGGAGTTAATATTTGATATGCCGATTTTCGCAAATTTTAGACACATCCCAAAATAAGCCACCGATTTTGAACATTAATATCTCCGTAAATTTTTAAGTAAAATACAACTGTAATATATCAAAATCTAAGTTAGTCCTTCCTCTATTTAACGCAAGTCATTTCTATTTGATAGCTTTACTTGTGTAGAAGTTATTATAAATCAAACGGGAGTACTTTTTTTTGGGACACCCAGTATATATATATATATATATATATATATATATATATATATATATATATATATATATATATATATATATATATATATATATATATATATATATATATATATATATATATATATATATATATATTGTACTCCTTGCAGCTTTGTGTTACCAAGGCCAATTTCTCCCACACTCTGGTGCCATAGTCACCTCCCAAAAAGACCCTGGGTTCGGGGATGCTAGGTGTACGCTGAAATCTCATATTTTGATACTCATAGAATAATAATGGTTTTATATGAACTGATAACTTGTTTAATCTTGGTGATGTTATCCTTGGTGACTATAAAGTCACCTTCATGGAGATGTTTGACTAAACTAAGCATGAATTATTTTGCCATCATGAACTCGAGTATTGCCAACGTTATGCCAACATGAAATGGATAATGACACATTTACGATGGCAGTTGTTTGCCAATGTGAACAATTCTGCAGTTCAAAGGCTGAATATTGCAGCTGCATATTGCTGAAATCGAACCCAATACCACGTACAGGAGAACTAATTCAGACTTGAATAACTTTGTAATTATGTTTTAGCCTGCATGACTAAAGAAAAAAAATGGGAAAAAGTTATTGAATATTCTGATAAGGTAATAATTATTTCCAACTCTTAACAAGTATGTATTTCTTGATGTTTGCCTTACTTAAGCTGTAACTGCTAGTTTCCGCAGCTTCAAGTACGTTTAGTTTTTTATTCTCCTAGGCTTTGGAAGTACATCCGGAGAATGTTAAGGCATTGTTTCGAAAGGGACAAGCATATTATCATGTGAAGAATTGGGACAAAGCATTTGAGGCCATACAGCAGGCCAGAAAGATAGAACCAGATGGTTAGTTTGTGTGATGTTTTTGTTCAGGTTAAGCCTTTAAGTGGCAATGCAGGCCTGATGTGCGAGCTGCTTTATTATTTTACTCTGTCTAATATGCCAGACAATTTTACTCATGAAGGGAAGAGTGGTGCCACTCAATGGTTTACTGTATTAAAGGCCCATTTCCACTCAGGAAAATTTTCCGCTGAAAGAAAATTTTGTAAAATGTGATTGGCCGACACAAATTTTCCGTCAGAAAAAAAATTTCAAAAAATTTTCTGTTCATGGAAATTTTTCTTGAGTGGAAATGGGTAATTCCAGAAAACATCCATACCACTCCCATGGAGGAAATTGGAAGTTAACCCCCCTACCCCCTTCGGATGTCCTAATACATTTACTATTATCAGAAACAATTTTGTCTCCCCTCCCCCTCCAGTTGGCAAAAATGTCCTCCGTGGGGGGAGTGTGGATCTTTTCTGGAACAACCCAATGGGCCTTTAATTTAGAACTTAGAAAATAGTACCAAACAACTTTGCCCAAATTGTATTAGTTTGAATTTAGATGTAATCAAATTCCAATTCTTTTCGTATGTAGATGCCAATATAAAGAAATATCTAAGTAAACTACAGCAAGAGCTCAACAAATACAGAGAGAAACAGAAGGCAATGTATGCTGCAATGTTTAAAAAATAACACTGAAACCGGTCCTGGCAAAGACCATGACACTTTCCTGACTTATCTCTGAAATTTGAAACAAGATATCATATCCATTGGTATACACAGGGGCGCACATTCAGCAAATTACAGGGGGTGGGGTGGGATCATCTGGGACCAACCTTTTTGTTCTCTACAAACGACTTTTTATTATTTTTGAATGCTGGGGGTTTTCAAACACTCCCAAGCACCCCCTAGTATGTACCCATGCCTATACATCCAAAAAGGATAGGGTTAGGAAGGTCTATGTATAATCCTATATAAACTTCAAAGACAGAGAAACCTTTAGGTTTTGTTGGTTTTGCATTTGTGTATAAATTATTTAATTGTGTTTAATGTTTGAGAAAATCAGGAAAAAACTTCTTACTGACAAACTAGCAATAAGCACATTGTATTTTCAAAAGGTTTTTGCAGGAAAGAGAGTGGTACTTAACAAAAATAATAGATTTCAAATACAGGCAAGAGGAATAAAACATCTTTCAAACAACACAATTCAGAGTTTACTTGATGTTCACTTATTTAATAATTTTACTAAATAATTTACATTAAATCAACTAACTCAAACAAACGTTAAGGCCCGTTTACACTTACAATTTCTGCTGCGATTTCTAGTGCGATTTTCTCCTTCTGATGCATGTGAACGACTAGATGAGTTACGAATGTTTGGAGTACATGTATCCTCATCTGAACATTCATAACTTATCCACTCATTCACATCCATCAGAAGAAGAAAATCACAGCAAAAATTGCAAGTGTAAATGAGCCTTTAAATTAAACTGTTATTGCAGTTTCGGTCTTGTAATAAATTCTTAATTAATCTATTGATTTTTGAATTTGTGTAATCTCACAAGCCAGTCCTGCCAAAAACTTCTACATTGCTTAAAATCCAGGAAATGCACATCGGCAGGTGAACCATCTTCATAAGCAATGACAAGGAGGCCATGCCGGATACGAATCGTGCTTGCTGGGTCACCATTGATTGCGCCAGCATAGGCCACCATTTGCACTGGATATTCACCACAGTCGGCTAAACTCAGCTTTTGTCTCTGTGATGTCTTCCACTCAATGATGCAAGGGTTGCCACGGTAACATGCTAATGTATCAAGCTTGCCTTGATAGCGGAGGTATGTGTGACAAACACTCTTCTCGCTCGCAATGGCATCACCCAATTTGTCAAAAACCTTCCTTGTGCTTACTAAATACCCCTGTAGCTTTTCAGGGACTTCACAGTTCAACTGTCTGTCTGCCAAACATTGATGAACAAAACGATGAAATTCTATACCTTTCTTTCTAATTTCATTCATTTTGTGTTGGAAAACGTCCTCCCCCAACAGTTCTTTTTGTTTTTTAGTCCAGTGATAAATCGCAAAAAGTTTGCTCTTTGGAGCCGTGCTTCGCAGAATTTTGCTAACACTTGGAAGGTGATTTCCCGGTGAGGTACTGTTAGCTTCCAACCCATTGGAACAAAATCCCACATCCTCGTATAAACCCTCGTCAACAGAACATGTGTTTTTGAAGTACCGCACTTTTCCGAGACCCTGGTCTGTTGACGTGTTAACACTCCAATTGTTATGAAAAAGCAATTTATCTTGCCTTCCATATGTCATATTGTTAATAGTATGGGCATTTTGCACAGGCCCAGGGTATGAAATTGAATTTTGCATCGGAAGAAATGGATATCTCAAAATGTCTGAATTCATCAAAACATTTTCATGAAAGTCTAAAAGTTCAGTTCGCATTTGAGTGGTCTTGGTGTTTGCACGAATACCTAGTTTCTTGCACCATTTTTGCAGATCCCGTCTCGTCATGTCCGCTACCTCGCCTGGAGTAAACCACTTGCCCGCGTCTCCGTCCCCGGGTTGGGCGGGGCTTTGCGACGAAACCACACGACAAGCGAATGATTTCCGAAATTTTCTTACACCAATCTCATAAAACAATGGTATTCTTATGTTCTCCATCGAGAAAAGGTATTTCTTACAACAAATCATGCCTCTTTCTAGAATTTATAGTCTTACGGTAAAAACAAAAGCAAATTCTCACTTCGATTCCACTACAAAGCGCTAGATGGTAATGCATAAACAGTAACTACCGATGACCAATACCTCCGCGGATTCGTATGTCACGTGTTCTTTTGGTTTTATTTTCAAATTTCAGAAAGATCAAAGATGTAAAATTTATTTTTACAAATATTAAAACGCAGGCTTTTGGTCATAAGTTATAGATGTTTGCGCGTAAACTAAAGGCACTTGGGCATCACAGTCCAAGCAGTTTTGATGTTAATGGTAAGATTCTTTTTTAATTAATCAGTATTATTTATAGTAAACCACTAATATATTAAAACCCCTAAATTATAACCTATTATAAATTAATTAATTGATATTTTTATACTCTTTTTGTTATTTAATATTGTGTTCCTGTATTGACCTTTATTCATTTGTCGTTTTAGTTTAATTTACAGTCAAACCGGATGCTCTGTTCCCCTGAAATGGCCTGAATATTGCAATATTGTTGGGAATACCACAATTTTGATTGCAAGATTGCTCTGAGCAAGTTGCAACCGACATGATCAAATTGCAAGTTGAAATTCACAACCAGATTTGTAAAAAAGTCTCTAATTGGCTACTAGTAGCAAAGAAGAACCAATCAAAAACTCTGAGCAAATGGATTGGTTGTTCTTTGCTACTAGTAGCCAATCAGAGACTTTGTTTACAAATCTGGTTGTGAATTTCAACTTGCAATTTGATCCTGTCAGTTGCAACTTGCTCAGAGCAATCTCGCAATCAAAATTGCGGTATTCCCAACAGCATTGCAACATTCAGGGGAACAGAACATCTGGTTTGACTGTAATGAAATATGTCAGGAGAGGAAAACAGGACTAACGTTCCAATTGACAATCCTCCCCCTTACGTCGTACATGTATAAAAAGTAAAACGCACCATTTGTTATAGATCTGCAACAAGGTTGTTGTCAAGCCGATATCAGATCACCTTGTTACAAGGTTGATGAAGGTAACAGACTTGCCACAAGTTGTTCCAACAAGAGTGATACAGGCCGTTTGTAACAAGTCGCTAAGTTGCGACATTAGGGCCATTTATACGAGACAAAACAAGACGCGACTTACATAAGACGCGACTTAAATTAGCGGAGTTATCGCATAAATGGTTCTCTACGCCTTTATTCTTATTTACTTGCTATAGCTATTATCATACCATTATGTTGTTTCAGTTGTTTTTGTTTTAATATGCAAGGCTAATAATTTTACGTTGTTTGAAGTTTCGGGCATGTGTAGTTAGAATTTTTGTCCAAAATTTCTTATTTAAGATGCGACTTAAATAAGAACAGCTAAAAGTCCTGTTCTTATTTAAGTCGCGTCTTATCCAAGACGCGTCTTACATAAGAATTTTGTACCTTTTATACGACAAACTCGCGTCTTATTTAAGTCGCGTCTTATGTAAGTCGCGTCTTATTTTGTCTCGTATAAATGGCCCTAATATCAGTCCTGTTGTAATAACTTGTTGCAAGTCTGTTGGCCTCACCAACGTTGTTACAAGATGATGACAACTTGTTCCAGACTTGTCAATAACTAGAAAAATGTAGTGCAAACCATTGTGTTGACAAGCTGTGAGATTTTTATGACAATCAATTGGTAGAATATTCATATCAGTTTGTAGTATTGTTGTGGTATGTCATTACATATCCAACACCTTTCCATCATGAGTAGTTTGTCTTGCAATAGATAGTATGCGTGGCAGGCCCTTAGTTTTATGGGGGGGGGCCTGATTTGCAACGGGTGGGATTTCGGCGGGCACAGGGCAAAAATCCTGCCCGTTGCAAATCAGGTCCCCTATAAAACTGAGGGCCTGCCATGCAGGCTATGCAATAGACATAATATTATATCTGGGTAGGCTTGGGCGGTTTACCGTTTTTTTTCGGTTTTATTTTCAAACCGGTTTTTTCGGTTTAGCTTTTACAAAAACCGGAAAACCGTCATTACGTAATTGTTTACTGTCATCACCTGAAACTCGATCTTAATTCTCAAAACATGACACCAATTAAACTCAATTACGTGACACTAGATACAAATTCTATTCTTTTTCCAATAAAGTCGGTAAGAACTGAAGAGGTATAAGTTTTCAAATGCGTTCTTGGCCCTTTTATTTTAAAACTGAAGTCATTTTAGGTTACCTTTGCACAATTTTGCGTTTTGTCATGTACTGTTCGTTTGCTTATGACAGAAAAATACCACAATTCCTCCTCATACAGTTGAAATACAAATTAAAGGGAAAAAAACGGTTTTCCGGTTTTCCCGGTTTAGAATCAGATGGTTTTTCGGTTTTGATTTTAAACAAAACCGCCCAAGCCTATATCTGGGGCTAGTAAACAGGGAAGCCTGTCTATCAGCTCTTCAGTCTTCCATGCAAAATAATTAGTCCACCACTGTACTAGTATACTTTCTCTGGTTTGCAGTTAAAAATTTAATTTTTACTTTCATAACAAATGCAAAACATTCATGGGTCATTGCACAAAACATCCACATCTCCCCCCTCAGATGCCCTAGTTCATTTATTGTTATAGAAGTAAATATTTCCTGACAGAAATTCTGTAGTGGGAATCTGAATCTTTTCTGGAATGACCCATTGTCTTTAAGATCTATCAAACTTTAAAAATATAATATTTCAATATCACTGGTATATATAGAAAGGATAAATTATAAACTGTTTACAATGATTTAAAATGAAACATGATGGACAAGTTCCTTTCTAATAGTTTGTTGTTCATGTCAGCATTTTAAATGTTCTGCGATTCTGTAGAATCTTATGCTTATGGATTAATTAAAGAACTGACTAAATTGAGAGTATTATGTTAACAAACTGTCCCATCCATATACTGTTCTGATGATTAGGGGAATGTGCACCACTAAATGTTACAAGAACTCCATGACATTCAACTGAAATTTTCCCCAACATTCCCCTATTTGACGATTGTCCCTTAATTCTGGCTGTTAGTGTTACAACTTCGTTTGCCTCGATGACAATAGGTGATTCTAACATCACATCAAAACCACGGAATCCGCCATTGCTGTCAGTACTGTACTCTCCACAAACTTTTGCACCTTTGATCTCCAAAGTAACATTAAATGTGCCTTTTCGCCTGCTTCCAAACAAGCGGGTACCATGGAACAGTGCATCTTTGGAAACAGAAAAGCAAATTCGATCTGGCTCCCAACTCCGTTCATATCTCCGTTCATTCTCAATACTGTGATTAAATCTGTTGAACCGAACATTTTTATGGGAAACCTTTATTGTCTTTAATGGTGGTTTTCTCTTTGAAGGACTCCACTCTAAAGCTGAGTCTAATCCATTGAACTTGCCATAAATTGATACCAGTTCCTTATCACAAAAAAACCCAGACTTTGAGACATGCTGTGCAAAATCTTTTTCACCCATGCTAAGGTACTTTATTGCATAAATTGCATCACCCATGACAGATTTTTTGTTTTCGGCTGTTGGTGTTAAATTCTTTTGCTCGCATTGGACCTCGCTCCAATTTAGCACAGCTTGAAACAGTTTGACTTCAGGGATATCCAATTTATCGCGATTCAGTAAAGTCATGAGTGTCCCTAGAGTGATGTTATGAAAGCTTTCTGCGCTAACAACATCACTTGTATGTCGCTCTATAAAATGCCAACATGCCGTCTGTAATTCTTGCTCATCAAAACATATTGCATGGTTTAAAATTGTAAACACGTTTTCAGCATTTATTATTCTACACAGATTATCAACACACATCTCAGTTAAGGTTCCCACCATGTATTTTTTAGCAAGGTATAACAACGACACAACATTCGTCTCAGTCAATCTACAATTGTCCGTATACAGGAACCTCAAAAATTCCTCGAAACTTTTTTCATCCGTATCATTAATTTTGATCACGGATCCCCGTTCGGCTAATACTCCATAAAACATCGCATAGAATACCGAACTGCTTGTGGCTAAAACATACTTGTGTGCGTGGAATTTCGTCTCCGAACCTTCGCACGTGAAACTGATGTCAGACATATCTGAATTGTTGAACATGTGCGTGTTTCTTTGCAAAATACTTCGTGTTTTGAATTGCCAGTCTTCGTCAGTTTGAGCCGAAGCCATCTCTGTATTAAAATGATGGATAAACAATAATGAAATAAAATAAACGAATAAACGATTCACAAATGCGAATGAATCGACGAAAGAAGATCGAATGAATGTATGTATGATGTATCCTACCGTCATTTGCACCTAACCATGAACAGTCGCAGATAAAACAATTAGAGAGGTTCAGTTTTGACACCACGCATCTGATTGGTTAATAGTCCATTAATGGTAGCGGTAGTGAAAGTCCAATCTGAACTTCTATTGTGAAACTTTCGTGTTTGTCAAGGTAGATTTGACATATTAATTATAATCCGATCAGTCAATCATGTTGATCAATATATTCAAGTGCTCCTCATAAGATGGAGGTAACATTGTTTTTCATCATGATCATGCAGAATAGACAATGTTTTTTTATCTGTGACCATTTGTCTTGTGATTCAACGTGACTAACTGAGCTACAAGTCGGAGTCAAACCGACTTGTCCTCGTACGTAGCTCAGTTGGTATAATCGGTATAGCGTTGGACTACAACGCAAGGTACTAACTAGTAAATGCAAGCATAGGGTTTTGATATTCTTATGCTTATCTTGACTAGATCAGCCTATATTTACATTTCAGCACTTTTTCCAACCTTCTACCCAGGGCATTTCATGCCTGCCAAGTAAAGACCCTGGGGCACTTTCCATTTAATGGCCTGACCGGTCAGACCATTGTAATAGGACTACAATTACAATAACCCTAATCCAAAAGCTATAATCCTAATCCTAACCGTAATCCCAAGCGCCAAGCTTAACCTTAACCCTAAAGTTGATGACCTTTTTTTGATAATCTCCCGCTGCGGCTCGACCACTACGACACCATATTCGGCATTTTGCACAATTGCAATCAAAAAGTACAAGTGAGAAAGAAAAACATGGAATAACATAGTTTCAGTGATGGGAAGTGTTTTACTGATTTTGTTTTACTGACAGGTTGAAATGTGCATTCAATTGCTCGAGCGATGTTTTGTAATCCTCGCCAGTATCAGGCAACGTCTCGAAGATTTCTTGCACTTCTGCACCCGCTAAATGAAGTAGAATGACCCGCTTTTGCTTTTGATCGGAGATGCCCGAAGCACGAATGTAGTAATCGAGCGAGTTCGTCCATTTGTCCCAACGTTGTGCCAACGAACTCGTTTCAGCCACAGAAAAGGGTGGAATATCCGGTAAATCAAGGACCTTAGCCATTTCGTATGAAAATCAACCAACGTCGATACTTTTACTTTACCTCGTCGTCAATTATAGTGTTTATATTATCAAACTTTAAGGCTTTATTCTCTCGCTCGTGTACTACAATACTCTCTCTCTAACAGTACTGATGGTAGCCTGAAATGTCAGGCGTTCTCCGCGATACCGAGTACTCGGTATTCGATACCAGCGATACCACAAACAGCGGTATCGGTATCGATTACTGACGTGTATCGTTCGATACTTGCACCCTTTTTTAAACGACTTGTTTAATTTCACTTCTTGGTTGAATATGACTTAATGAACCACTAAAATAACTCTTAATATTCCAAATGTGGTGCGCCAAGTCATGTATAGAAAATATTTATTACGTTTCGCGCTTTTGGTTACTCATAGCTTTATTTAGGTTACATACAGTAATGTAAAATTTTTTCTGCTGACCGGCAGGTATCGAAAAGTAGGCGATACTAGTAATTTAAGTACTCACTTCCGGTATCGAAAATTGAAATTTTGTGTTCATTTTGGTATCGAAATAGGTATCGACATCGGCCGATACTGATCTTAAAAGTATCGGTATCGAATTAAAAATCCTGGTATCGCCCATCACTATAATTGCCTTGCAAAATATCTGGTCACACTGGTGACTGGTCATCGTATTCGTATTGGTAGTCAATTTATCCCGGGCGTTCTGTGACCCCCGTCTGCGATCATATCAGAACATGTCAGCGGCATCTAGTAAATTACTTAAATAATAAAATAATAACATCGCCCAAAGTTCGAAGGTTTTACTTTAATTCCAAAGGAATTTTATCGCTGAAATATTTTTTATCTACAACTTTAGAAAGTGGAAATAGTTTCAGATGCATGGGCCATCATTCGGATATTTACCATCGAAGAACAAATATGACTGGTTTATAGTTTATTTTGTCTAAAAATACATTCCCATGTACATACAAATTAAATTACCTGCGAAAATTCACAAACTAACCCCTCTGAAATTTGAAGTCTTTGCCGTGGCTAGAAAAAACAATAAATGCCATACCATCTCTATATTTACTACAAAATGTCAGCGGATCCTTTTATTTATATATGTTTATACCAGTATATATTTAGATTTTCTGCATTTGTATTTCAGCGACGTGGCGTGGTTGTCTAGGTCGTTGCGTGCGGTCTCACATGCTGCTAATTGGCGGTTTTCTCTAAGATTTTTCCTAAGATTGTCTTTATACAATACCTTTTGGTTAATAGATTTATAGGGTTTGAGTTCGGGTCAGGTTTATTTTTTAAGTGTGGAATTACTAGACAACACAGTTTAATAAGTGTGGAGGTACTAGACAACACAGGGGAGTTACTACTGTATTACTGTAAATTACTATTATTAAATTGCCCCTTCTTTCAAAATTCGATAAATTGTTTTTTAGAAATGTGATTTCGCTGTCACTTTGTGGTTCGCGCAATTTCCATAATTCGCGCGCGAATTCGAATTGTGTTAATTATACTGTTAATTACCATTAATTATGCTAAATGTTTAGCCGCTGACATATGCCGCTGACATGATCGATCACAGAATGCCCGGGAAATTATGGCCGGGATAAATAGACCCCTCTGAATTGATATCACCACATCTTGGCATCTTGCAAGCTTTCGCAGTTTCGCTTACATTTTCTTTTATATCTATCATTCGCAAAGATGGCTTTACCTCAAGCTGACGAAGACTGGCAATTTGAAACGCGAACTGTTTTGGAAAGAAACACGCACATGTTTAATAATCAGGATATGTCTGACATCAGTTTCACGTGCAAACATTCCGACAAGAAATTCTACGCACACAAGTATGTTTTAGCCACAAGCAGTTCGGTATTCTATGCGATGTTTTATGGAGTATTAGCCGAACGGGGTTCCGTGATCAAAATTAGTGATACGGATGAGAAAAGTTTCGAGGAATTTTTGAGGTTTCTGTATACGGACAAATGTAGATTGACTGAGACGAATGTTGTGTCGTTGGTGTACCTTGCTAAAAAATACATGGTGGCAATTTTAACTGAGATGTGTGTTGAGGTTCTGTGTAGAAAAATAAATTCTGAAAACGTGCTTACAATTTTAAACAACGCAATATGTTTTGATGAGCAAGAATTACAGACGGCATGTTGGCATTTTATAGAGCGGTATGCAAGTGATGTTGTTAGCGCAGAAAGCTTTAATAACATCACTCTAGAGACACTCATGACTTTAGTGAATCGCGATAAATTGGATGTCCCCGAAGTCAAACTGTTTCAAGCCGTCCTGAAATGGAGCGAGATCCAATGCGAGCAAAAGAATTTAGCACCAACAGCCAAGAACAAAAGATCTGTCATGGGTGATGCAATTTATGCAATAAAGTACCTTAGCATGACGCAAAAAGATTTTGCACAACACGTTTCGAAGTCTGGTTTGTTTACTGCGGAGGAACTAGTTACAATTTATAACAAATTCAATGGATTAGATTCAGCTTTAAAGTGGACTCTTACTACAAGAGAACCACCATTAAAGATCATGAAAATTTCCCATAAAAATGTTCGATTTAACAGATTTAAAAGTGTTTATGAGAATGAATGGCAGGATGATTCTTGGGAGCCAGATCGCCTTTGCTTCTCTGTTTCCAAAGATGCACTATTTCATGGGGCACATTTGTTTGGGGGTAACAGAGGAAGTGTATGTGATGTAACTCTGGAAGTCAAGGGTGCAAAAGTCAGTGGAAAATACAGTACAGGCAATGATAGGTGGTCATATGGCTTTGATGTGATGTTAGAATCGCCTATTGTCATTGAGGCAAATGAAGTTGTAATACTGACAGCCAGAATTAATGGACCATCTTCATGTTTGGGAATTGATGGGCAAATGTCAGTTGAATGTCATGGAGTCACTGTTACATTTAGTGATGCACGTTCCCCTTTTCATAAGACCACTGCATCACAAGGACAGTTTCTCAATGTAATACTCTCAATTTAGGCTGTTGTTTGATAAACTTTGATTCTATGACCTCAGTATTTTGTTCACCAGAGTTTGAGATTAGAATTTTTTCCTGACATCACTTATGGATGTACAGGTATTTTTAAAGGGCCGCTGTAATTGGCGAAAGCTGTGGCGTGTACCTGCCCTCTGTTTATATATGTATTGTGTATGTCATATGTAGCATGTTATTTGGTAAAGTTAAACAAATTTGATATTCAATCACTGAAAGACTGATATTCATTTGAGGCCTTAAACTGCCAACTTATGCACAGGTAAAACACATTCTGCACTTGATATTTTCAACAGTTATCAAACTGATTTTACTGTGTTAATAATGAAATATACAATAACGCCACTACAAATGAGATTTTAGTTTCCCATCTGGCCTCGCTTCATGAATGCATGCGGGCACAGTCCCTTGTTATTCATTGAGAATTCATTAACCCTAATTCTGTCATCATCTGGACTCAGAATAGTCATTGCAATATACTATTTTGAAATTCCTCGTAATACATATTGTTTAACAATCTCCTGCTTTTGCATTGCCATGAAACAAGCAAGAGTGGGGATGAGAATGATGACAGAAGTCAGATTTTTAACACCTTTGTGAGGCAAGTTTTTTTTAAAAATTTTAACACACAAAAACGTTATTACAACAAAACAAATAAAATTTAATATCTATTTTGGAAAAAGTCAAATAATGTAAGGGGTCACGTCCATATTCAATTTGCCATGTAACGTTTTCGGTGGGTAGGTGGGTCTATTATTGGTGTTATATTCTGTGATGTTTTAACAAATTTCACCATGGCAAAATGAATATTTTTTTAAAAATCTTGCCATAAGCTAATTACCATACTTGATGTGGTAATTAGGGTGGGTGGATGGATTTGGATAAAAATGTCAATTTGACTGTTTGTGTGGCAACTTGAATATGGATGTAGCCCCTGGTCTCTTCTCAAAGATGTGGGCAGTGGATAGGAAACTAAAGTCTAATTTCGAATGGCCTAATTTCTTAGTGTTCAACTAAAATAGGATACCATGAAGATGCTGACATTAAAAACATACTTTAATTTATAATTGCTAATAATAGCAATATTAAAAGATTGTATTTTTGAAGTTATATTGATAGATTGTCATAGACATCATTGACAATGTTTCCATTTTAATGAATCACATTTACCTAAACTAGAGAAAGTGGTCAAATAGTTTCCCTGTAATATATTATATTTTATTTGAAGTGGTTTTTTGTTATTGAAAACTCTCCCACATACAATTGTAGTTATGTCAGGATTTCCACAGGCCTTGAAAATCTTGGAAAGTCTTTGAATTGGAAAAACAAAATTATTGAAAATCATGGAATTAATTTCCTTAACCTCCAGCTGTGCCGACATTAGTGATTTTGATTAAAATTACTTAATAAAGTGGATTATTCACGGCAAATCCGTGCCATTTTCGAACATTTTTTTCCTGTTCTAAATCCTTGAATTTACTGAAAAAGGGCCTTGAAAGTCCCGGAAAAGTCTTTTAGTTTCTCCTACACCGAAGTGTGGACACCCTGTTATGTTTAAGACAGGATTATGTTTAAGTTGAGGATGAGCTTTATAGGATTTGTAGGGATTTAATCTTGAGGATGAGGTTTTAGGGTTATGTTTAGGATTAGGAACACATGAAATTTCGTGGCCAAGAGTATACCAGTTCACAGTAACGGTGGTGCATGTCTACTGCCTAGTGGACATAATATATCTAGGTACAAGATTATAACCGTTGAATCTAGATTCTCGGCATTGCAGTTCTTTATAACCTTAGAGTGCAGGCTAACCCTCCCTGGATTTTCCTCATTTTTTTAAATATATAGAAACTTGCGTTGCCTGGTTAAAGTAAATATTCAGTTTGCTTTTCTAGATAAAAAACAGTTCTCTTCATTGGTTGTATGGTTGGAAGACATTAAAATTCGACTTTATCCAATCAACGATCGTACAGCTTTGAGGGATACAGAAAATAAAGACTGGCCAGATGTATTCAAACAGGTTGGTCGGATGCATATTTTCCAATATATAGCATTTGCAAAATTATTCAAGACATTTGAAAATTTTCCCTGCATGGTCATGGTGGGTAACTTGCAATTCTTTTCTGTTGGTTGGTCATTCGGTCAGCCATTTGCATGTTTGGTTGGTCAGTCTGTTAGTCTGGTTTGTTGAGTGGTTGGTCTGTCGGTTGGTTGGTCTGCCTGTCAGTTTGTTGGTCAATATGTCTGTCCGTTGGTCAGGCAGTCGGTTGGTTGGTCTGTTGGTTAGTCAGCCAGCCAGCCACCTAGTTTGTCGGCTGTTGGTTGGTCAGTCTGTTTGTCAATTGGTCGGTCAACCAATCATCCAGCCAGTTGGCCGGTCGGTTAGTCAGCCAGAAGTTACAAATACGCTTGCCTAAATATCATATTGCCAAAACTGGTCTCACAAAAATTCTTTAAACCCTCTCTTATTTCTAGTATATGAAAGATTTGGATTGCCCTGTAAATCCTGAAAGGAAAGAGCAAGTTTTAGATTGGTTGTTGGGATATGCAGTACGTCTCGAGTATTCAGATAAAGGTAAGATCTTTTTCACGTCTCAACAGATAAAGAGTTCAGCCTCGTACCCAGGCGCAATTAACTAAAAATAGGCACACTACAGTACTTTTATATAGATCAGTGGCTAAGATGAGCGAGCGCGCGGGGGTGCTTGGGAAGCACCCCCGCGCGCTCGAGCCACTGATCTATGTAAAAACACTATAGTGTGCCCATTTTTAGCGCCTGGGTACGCAACCTCGTTCCCAGGCTCTTTGCTCTTGGGAAGCAAAGACCCTGGTCGGGGCTGGTCACGTGACCCATAGAAAATTGATAACCTAAGAGGGGGATGGAAAAGTATCAAATTACATGTTTCCACTTCCGCACCTCACACTTCGATTGCAAGGAGTGACCGTGCTATACAATCATCTTTGAGAATCATATATACTTCAAAATACTTGCTAAATTGGTTTCTGTTTGCTTTTAAATTATACAAACATGCTAAACTGTAGATTCTTATATAGCAACAAACAAGTCAGAAAATCAAGCAACGAAAACGTATGATCGTATATGCTTGGAAATATTTGCCCTTTTATTGTCTCAGTGTCTCGGGGTTCGGGCGCAGTTTCATTTCACGCGTACGTTTCTGTATCTGGCTCTGATACGTATAATATTCTTATAATGTGCCATTGAATTGTTGTCATATGGAAACAGTATAAATTTTGTTAAATAGAGGTCTCAAAAGCGACTGTGTAGGTCGTAGGCGCTGCGCCTTGCTGGTCCTACAGCAAACGTTACATATTTGGACACTAGCCAAATAGACATTGAATGTCCATTCTATTGATTCTAAAACGGTTTATAGACATAGTGCTCTAGATTTTTTTAAAAAGGTTATCATCGTTTATATTCAACACCAGGTAGGAAGGAGTGTTAACGTACATGTACAAAATTGTTTGGGATCGACAGTAAAGAATTATACGACAAATCACAACTGTATGCATTTCCTTTTTTGTCTGCACGAGTACCTGTTTGTTGAAGCCAAAATCAGATTGCACAGAATCTCCGATATGAATTATATAGCCAAACACCCTCGCCCCTTGAATGCAAAGGAATGATAGCCGAAAAGGTTTAGCAAAGTATTTTTTATTATATCTGGTATAAAGTGTCCCTACGTTTTATCAGGGATATAGATATACATAATTCATAAACTGTATATATGCGCACGAAGTCCAGCTCATAGAATTACTTATAATTAACTTTTGATAAGCCTTTTAAAGTTTCCATTGATAGATAGGTTGTTTGCCTCTAGTATGGTTTGGTGAAACTGCTAAAATGTCATTTATGCAGTATACGATAAAGATTATTTAAAGTTGATTTAAATATTGATGACTCACAGGCCACAGCAGCATTATACAAGTCGAAAGAAGCTGTCGCGTTATTCTTCAAATATAAAGCCCTGAATGTGCAATGGAATGAAAGGTCTTTATAAGGTTTATAAATTAATGTACCTGCTGTAAATTACTGTAATACACAAAATATGAAATAATTTACTATGAAGTACAATACCAGTGTCCGGTGCATATATCGTCCTAAATATTCAAGTTATATGTACCGCACGCACGGAAACGTACAGTGGAGTCTTGGTGTTCGTCTGATGACAGATAGCTATACTTCGAGTCTTCGACATACTGATCATTCTTGATCGTTGAGTTTCAGCAATGTAAATGAAAGGAATTTTACAGTCCATAACGGGTTTTAATCCTGTGCTTTCACAGTCAAGATAGCACTATTGTTTACACACAGTTAGCGATGTTTGGGAAATCTTCCATTATAAAATAAATCCTTTGGCTTTGTTGAATATCGTACAGGATACACTTCAACCATAAACAACCATATCGTTCATTTAGTATCGTTTGATCGATCAGTCGGTATAGAATTGGGAAGACATATATGTTTCTACGGCGATGCGTGCTCAACTTCGCAAGCCAGGCGCGTGTGGAGTCCTTGGAAGTGAAATATGATCCAGCTTCTTGCTTGAAATGTACCGCAACACTTATAATTGATGACATTCAGTATAGCAGGAAGTTGTGTCATGATGAATACGAATTTAAAACTATTCCTTTCACGATATCTTGTTGCAAATTACATTTTTATCACCCGAAACTATAACACATAAAATTGCAATTTTCCAAACGCAACAAATAGACTCCTCTACCACCCCTCCCTGAGATCAATTCAATTTACCACGCAGAATCTGCGGGGTCACGTGACCAGCCCCGACCAGGGTCTTTGCTTCCCAAGAGCAAAGAGCCTGGGAACGAGGTTGCTGGGTACGAGGCTGTAAAGAGTTGCTGTTGGATAGGAATTGCAGAAGTGACGTCCTGCAGTATAGTAAATATTAACATTCGGGAATATTTTATCATAAATTAAGGGTGTGAAGGGAACATGTTGTTTATATATCGAAGGAACAAAATACCTCGAGAGTTCTAATAAAAATTCACGTTAAAGTATGTTAGAACACAGGCGGCCCAGACGTGTATCAGTGTATAGTAAATATATCATTATAGAATATACCTCTGAGAATATACTAAACAATAAAATTTGTAATGAATTTTATATTTTAAAATCATATTTACTTGCCTACTTTGATTGTATGTGATCGTCTTTTATTTCTGAGCGACTTTACATTCGATGCCTGCGACTGTCTTCATAGGTGATAGTATTGAATACAAAGGCTAACGATTCCAGTTCTCAAACCAGCGACACGAACACTTCAGCTCGAAATATATCCCCTTCAAATTGCTTTGTTCCCGGTTAAACTTCGCCAGCGTATAGAATAAACACCCATCTTCCAACATACAATGCAATATTAACACGTCCTATAATTTTTGCAACAGATTTTTAGCGAAATGTTTCGAGACTAAAATTCTACGGAACTTAGAAAGACCGATAATTACTACGGCGCCTGCTTGGCCACCTAGCCTCCTTTACCGTTTGGATTGTCAGGGGGGGGGATTCAAATAGCACCTTTGAAATCCGATATTGTAATTTGCAAAACTCTTTCGATCGTACACAGCAACAACGCCAGCAAATCAATGCCGCGATAGTGACTGTTTACAATATTTGAAATTTGATATTGTAATTTCCAAAACTTTTTCGATGAATCAATCGTACATCGAAAGAGTTTTGCAAATTTAATACAATATCAGATTTGAAATATTGTAAACAGTCGGTATCGCGGCGTTGATTGGCTGGCTGTTACCGGAAATAGTGAATCCCCCCCCTGACAATCCAAACGGTAAAGGAGGCTAGGTGGCCAAGCAGGCGCCGTAGTAATTATCGGTCTTTCTAAGTTCCGTAGAATTTTAGTCTCGAAACATTTCGCTAAAAATCTGTTGCAAAAATTATAGGACGTGTTAATATTGCATTGTATGTTGGAAGATGGGTGTTTATTCTATACGCTGGCGAAGTTTAACCGGGAACAAAGCAATTTGAAGGGGATATATTTCGAGCTGAAGTGTTCGTGTCGCTGGTTTGAGAACTGGAATCGTTAGCCTTTGTATTCAATACTATCACCTATGAAGACAGTCGCAGGCATCGAATGTAAAGTCGCTCAGAAATAAAAGACGATCACATACAATCAAAGTAGGCAAGTAAATATGATTTTAAAATATAAAATTCAGTACAAATTTTATTGTTTAGTATATTTTATAATGATATATTTACTATACACTGATACGCGTCTGGGCCGCCTGTGGTTAGAACAACAAGAGAATATTACACGTCCCTAGTCCAGAAATATTAAGGATGTCATTGAAAGCAATATTTTTTAGCTTCTCAAATAAATAAGACTTGGGAGGAACAAAAGGCGAAGAAACAACTTGAACAAAACGCGACAGAAGCCGAAGAAACAATACGAAATCTCAAAGGTATAAAAAGATTGTGTTTGGAATGTGAACAGCGACATAGCCGGGGGGGGGCAGGATGGGGAGATACGGACTACAGAGTACTTACATACAGAGGTCTCACTTCGGGTTAATTTAGCGTAAGGGATTTTTTCAGTCCGCCATGTTCTTAGCAAGGGACTTGTGCTCTAAAGAGAGACTGTCACCCCCTGAAAACATATTGAAATTTATTATTCCAGGGGGTGAATACCTCTCTTTTGGGCACTTGCTGAGAACATGGCCGCCAGCTATTTTGGTAACGGTTTACCCGCAGAAGTGAGACCTCTGTGTGCCACTACTCTGTGTCCGGACCCCCAGTTTCTTCAGGACCAATTTTGTATTTCCAACCCTAAAAATAGATTAATTGGGCTGGCTACACCCCTGAATGTGCTTATGTGCATGTAGAAACCAACAGTAATAATTGACCAAGATTTTTTTCTTTTAACAGCCGATGATCCAAATTTGAAAGCTGGCATCATGTCCCTGGCTAATTTGCTAAAAATCCCCGAACACGAAGATCCCCTTTTAAGACTACACGTAAGTCGCACCAGTTCAATATTAAGAGCTAAATGTTTTGGTTTTAAAGAAACTAGCTTTTCCTTTTTCTGTTTTTTAAAATGCACCACTATAGGCTTTAAAGGCGTTAATAGAAAACAAACTGACAGCAGAAGTTCAAGCAAACGCTAGTTCACAGGTAATTTTGAAAGAGAGTTTTTAATACATAATAACAATAATAATAATAGTAACGATTTATTGGCAATACATTCACAAAATGGCTCTTCGCTTACCAAATATACAAAAATACAATTAAATTATATACAAATTCTACAAATTACATGCAATATAACTGGTAACGTGTTCGAATGACAAAGTTTTACATATAAAATTACTATTGTATTACAAGTTACCTAATACATACGTGTTAAATAACGATTGGAAATTAATGACTTATAAACATCGTATTATTTCTAACCTGTTCTGTGCTCTTTAGAAAAAATCAGAAATAGACTTAAAGTTTTTTCAGAACATGAAACTTGGCTTCGACACTGGAGGTAAAATGAAAAAGATTACTTCGAAACTGTGGAAAATAAAACTTCTGTTGATCCAGACAAGATTTCTAGAAAAACATTTCCATGTTTAAAAACAATTAAGCTGTTGGGTAGATTACTTTAAAGGATTTGTTAACCTGGGAATAAGCTAACAGACTTTTGAACAACCGCCCCAGATTGCTGACGCTTTGCTAGTTGTGGTTATGAAAGTCAATTAGCCATTCCGAAGTTGATGAGTGGACTGGGGACGAGTGTTAAAAAGTGCCCAAATTGAGAAATGAACCCAATCACTAAAAAGACCACATCAAAATTAGTAAGTATGCAGAGTTTGAAGGCGTTTACATAAATACCCTTCGAATAATAAGCTTTTGAAATTACTGATTAAAGACTGTTTTGGGGACGCGCGTTCCCAAAAACAAAAATTGCAGTACATTTCATAGTAAATATCTGGATTTTCGAAAGCTTATTATTCGAAAGGTATTCATGTAAACGTCTTCAAACTTCGTATACTTACTAATTTTGAGGTGGTCTTTTAGTGATTTTCTTAATTTGGGCACTTTTTAACACTTGTCCCCAGTCCTCTCATCAACTTCGGAATGGCTAATTCAGACAAGATGAGATAAATTCGTGTACGAAGTAACATAACAAACTTCGACCCCAACCAAGCTCGCAATTGTATTCTGCGCTACCCAACGCAGGAAGCCGAAACACTGACACCGATCTCGTACCCAGAGTATGCCCGTTCGCAGGTTAGGTGTTCCGCGGCGGGCTGACCGTGTCCCATGCAGGCTAGGTCATGCCTGTCACCCAACCTACGAACGGGCATACGAGTACGAGATTGCACTGACATCCAACATTTCTAAGATTTTTTCTGGCTAGCAATGTGGTGGTTTGGACTCTTTGGAACTCTTTTGCTGGGTTTTAATTCTATACTTCTTGTTTAGATTCGGCAGTTAATGAAGCAGCGAAGATTTTAAGACTTCTTCACGTATCGGAACTTCGCGAACTTCAGACAAGTATTACACAGGCCATTGTGGCCGTGCAGTCGCACACTGCTAACCCAAAAACGGACACGAAACTTGGCAAAGTAGGAGTGTAGAGTGAGTTCTTTTGGGAATTGGGACAAGTTGCGAGAAAATGAAATAAAAATTAAATTATGCATCGACTAGTGAAGCCTACACATTGCAAAATTATATATATATATATATATATATATATATATATATATATATATATATATATATATATATATATATATATATATATATATATATATATATATAATTGTAAAAAAGCCCCTATATATGTATGCAGACCCGCCGATGGGGAGGGGGGGGGGGCAAGGGGGACACTTTGCCCCGGGCTCCCAGTTCAAAAGGGGGCCCCCACAGCAACGAAGGCCCTTAAAATTTCTTGGCACAAAATTGCTTACCTGAGAATATAAATCCAAGCTACGTTAGTGTTAGTAAGATGAAATAATAAAAATGTAATATAGTGTAAAACACCACTTTTACAATTAAGACGTGGGCCAAAACTTTCCAAGGGGACCCTTATGAGGTCCCGCGCAACCTCCCGGCGGCCCTGCTGTAAAGTTTTGTTGCATTGCAAGTCAGATATGAATGTGATTTTGCAGAGGGAAAAATACGAACTTATTATGCAATGCGAAAACACACTTGCCATCGTTTTTCTTCCGTCTCCGCCTTTGTTTATCAAAGGTAGTTCATATTTTTTGCTGTTGAAGCTAAAAGTGTAAAATATAAAACTGTTTTTCTTGACGTCCCCCTACCAGATCAAGCATTGCTTTGTATTGCTTAAGTTCGCTATTCGTTTTGTGGTGCGAAGCTAGCTTTGTTTCATGTTATGTCAAACCGTCCTGACCTGCTTTAACGTTTCATGTTGCGTTGTTTGTCCGGAATGGAGAGTTGTATTAAATTGCTTCCTACAAAGCAATATAGACGAATTTTAGGATTAAACTTCTGAAATTCTGTTTTATTCAAAACTCGTCGTCTTTCACTTCCCGACCAGGCGTGTTGTGTTGTTCATTGTGTTGATGCACAAGTCATGGTGTTCAGTGGTAACACACGTCAAAACGTACAAGTTGTAACAAACATGCAGCCAACATCGTACCCAGGGCTTCTGCGCTTGTGGCTCTGAAGAAGCCCTGGGTGCGAGGTTGACATGCAGCAGATTTTCCAGACCATTCTCGTTTCCAGGGTTTCTTGACTTTAGACTACGCAGGTAATCGAGAAGCTCTGGGAACAAAGCTAGGATCAGATCGCTTCGAGTATGGGATTGAATTCGCCGCCCTTCTCCATAGCCTCACCAAACCTTCACAGAGGATTGCAGGCTCAGGGTATGATATTGCAGGGGCTCTAACAACCTTGTCCCAGGGTCTTCGCGATCGTGGCGCACGATGACCCTGGGGTCGAGCTTGGCAGTAATTTTGTTGCAAGTGAAAAATTCGTAAAACAATACAACATTTTTCTAAAATGTCTATTTCGGTGAAACATCAACATATTCGACCTTCTACTTCGAGTACTGGTACATTATTAGTAACTATAAGTGGTAAAAAACATTGTTATATTTTATACAAGACTGTTTCTACTGAAAATAAACAATAAAGTATACAATAATGTCTACATATCGGATAAAAGTCAGTTCATTAAAAGTTGGTCTAGTCTTCTTCTTTGGCAGAACCTTTGATAGTCTTGCAGAAGTCGGCATAAAGCAAGTTTCCTTGGCGGTCCATTGGAGCGTTGTTGAACATTTCGTCAACTTCTTCTTCCGTAAATCTGAAGGAAAGTGAAAAATTAAAAGCCCTGAACTTTGACAGTTTGACTGACTTTATATAATGTAGGGTTAGCAGTTGGACCAGTCTTCAACTTCACTTAGCCGAACACTTTGAATCAAATAAAATAAGGAGATGTAGGGATGTCACAATACAGCACAAAAATATTGGAAATCTCATTCACAAACTAAAGTTGTGATAAAAAAGGTCTGCTTTTTGAACAACAAAAAACATTCACGAAAACGCCGTTCGTTCATGTTGTTTTATCTTGCTATAAAATTACATAACGCCGGCTCATTCAACCTGATAACTGAATTATGTTTAGGTGCGTGTTGCCTAGCCTGCTCAGCATCCCCCACCCGAAAATTTGAAGCGGAAATTCGGGCTGCAAGCAGGCTGGTGATTGCCATATTTAGCTGAAAGCTATTAAACCAATCAACAAACGCGTGCAGCGACTGTATAATTACTATAATAATGTAGTTTAATTTGCTTATCAGCTTGTTCCCATTGGCTTGTTCCTATAACTATACATTTCAATAGTTGAACAAATGTAAGAGATTTTTGTTGCCTGCATCTGGAAACAAGTTTGTAATTGGTTTTGGGTAGGAGATGGTAGTCATTTTCACAGGAGTATCAAAGTCTCTCTACTTTTATATTTTTCATCAAATACACGACTTCTATCTAGTACGCGACTTCTGCCTAAAACTGTCGCATGCAACCTGCTTTAAACAACTTGAGTTGTACTGTGTAAATCAAGCACACAACTCGTCTACTGTACGTTGTTGTAGGTTAGTTGCATGCTTGATTTACACAGTGCAACTCAAGTTGCAAGCAGGTTACATGCGACAGTTTTAGGTCAGTAAAGGTTGTGTGTAGACTGTTGTAGCGTATTAAATGATTGTGAACGTATGCCATCAACTAACAACCATCTGTTGAACGATTAGGTTTAGCAAACCCCTTAGTAAAACAAATCTATATATACTTATTGAAAAATCGTATTAGAAGACTATAAAAATATATACTGTATAAGTTCAAAATGCAATGTTATATTAAACTTAGCTGAATCGAAAATATTACAGAATATTTAACGCCACAGGGCGCCTTATCAATATTTTGTTATTGAAATTATGTTCACATGAGAGTGACTATGATATAAAAATGAACAAATCTGGCGATATTTCTGTCATGTTTTTCCAAATGGAAATAGTATACAACGAAAAATCTTGTGCAAAATATTCTAAATCAGTGTAGAGAACCGCATTTTTACAACAGATTGTTAGAACGCGCGTCTTTCTGCCAGATAAGAAGTATGATTAGCGCAAAAAAATACACTTATTGCTACTATCCCGCTGTGCGTTTCACACAAACTAACAAACGGCTTGATCAATTCATACAATCACGATATAAATCTGTTCGTTCGTTTCTCGCGAAAATTTGTATGCTTTTTCAAAATAACTATGAAACTAAGTAAGGCAAGTCATGCAAACTAGTATTCGAGTTTTTAAAAAACTTTCGCCCCGTTGTAACTTTCTGGCGAATTCACAGACTTAAAGTGATGAAGTAATTATTGATTATAGTAGGATACACCAAGTTCGTCTGAAATGTCAGAGGTCTGTGGCTCGTATTGCACGGAAAAGTCTGTTTTTCAAAAGTCTGATGTTAACTCTAGAATACTGGTCGCTCTAACTGCAAATTCAAACACCATTCTAAACGAAGTTATGTGACGAAGTGATTATATTACACTTAAGAAATTGTAACAGTTCATAATAAAATCTAAGTAGCTTAGAATAAAACAAATACAAAAAGGTTAGATTTGTAACCTACCTATCGCCTGCCTGCATGAGCATATCCTTAAGTTTAGATTCGGCAATTTTCCCTGTGCCAGCTTCGTCGAAGCAGCCAAAAGCGTTGCGGATGACATCTTCCGGATCGGTACCGTTAAGTCTGTCGCCGAAAAGCGTTAAGAACACGGTGAAATTCATTGGACCAGGGGCTTCGCTGATCATGCCTTCTAAATACTCGTCCGTAGCCATTTTCCCCAAGTTAATGAAGGTTTCGTTCAGGTCGCCTTTGTCGATAAAACCATCACGACCAACATCGATCATGTTGAACGCTTCTTTGAATTCTTGGATGGTCTGTTGGTCGAACATGGCGAAAACATTGGAGGCGGCTCTTTGAGCCTTCTTTTTGGTCTTTTTCGATTTTTTCGAAGACATTTTGGATTATAAAAGAATTACCTAAGTTTGTACCAGAAAACACGACCAACTCTTGCTCGAACCGTGACTTAAAGTGAACAGACTTGCTCTCCGCCTAGTTCACTCCCTATCCCAGATGCCCAATAAGGCTTGTCAAAAATACCACAGCCCAGTACTGGCATTTGATTGGTCTATACCAGACCCTTGGGGAGTACTGAGTCGCTTGTCATTGGCTAATTTTCAGAGCACCGGAGATAAAAAAAATGCCACTACAATCACATGCATTGTTTTGTATTTAATTTCGATAACAAACGTCGACAAGAGAAAAGGCCGACACTAGCGCATTTCTGGTTGGTAGAAAGTGCTCCCAATGAAATGCAGTTCCATATTAGCTTACTTATCAAAGAATTTAGCAACGTAGTGTTGAGTTTCGAGAACAATTTTGATACAAGTGTGAAATGTTGCACGGGTTTGTGTCGACAGATTACATGCATGTTGCCGGCTGCGCGGAACTCGACACTGTCAGTTGTCAGTCTATACAAATACCTAGCTTGCTTTGTACCCGAGGGTTTTCAATGCCTTTTCCAGCTGTTCGGGCTAGCCGCTAGGAATTCTCGAGAGAGTTTATTCACTGCAAGTTTCAATTCGATACCAATCAAAACTATCATAACTTGAATAGTTTTGTTTGTGGAAACACCACGTAAATTTATTACTTGCAGTAATAAATTTACGTGGTGTTTCCACAAACAAAACTATTATATTTTTCGCCATGCAAACATACAAAGAACTTATTATCATAACTTGCTTTTGAATTTATGCTCGTTCAGACTTTGACATCTCCATTTTATTTGTGGTCAAAAAATGAATTGCATTTGACTAGCTGTTTCGATCGTCCAAACATTGTTTAGACTTTAATAATTTTGAAGTAATAGATGCTAGCTTTCACAGAGTACTTTTTCCAGACGCCCGCTCATATTTGGGCCTGAATTTCAGGTTACTACCAACGACCCAGCCAGGGGGGGGGGGGGCGATCGCCCCTCCAGTCGCCACAAAAACCATTCTCTCAAAAGTCTAAATCAGTAGAGAAATTGGGGGAGGGGGGGGGATTACATTCTAAACTGACTAAGCCTCGACCTAGCCTAGGACAACGACGATATACTGCAGGAGCTTGATGTGTAAGATGTCGTTAAAGCATTTATATGATTTGAAGAAGAATGGATTTACTAGTTTAGGTTTTCAACTTTTAAATGGCATATATGCCGTATGCTCGTGAGCATGCTCGGATGCAAACCAGAATCCGGTACGGCTCATGAGCATGTTCGCATACAAACCAAAACCCAGTATGGTCATGAGCATCCTCGTATACGAACCAGGATCCGGTAGCTAATGAGAATGCTCATATACAAACCAAAATCCGGTATGCTCATCAGCATGTTCACTATACATACTAAAATCTGGTATTGAATGACGTCGTTTCTTGCACTTCACTTGGTGGAATTAATATTAGAATGTTAGGGTTTGTCCAAGTGATTATATACATTTTAAGACCTGACCAGGAACGACTGCGAAAAATGAAGCACAAGGTCCTCTGGTAGGAATTGAACCTACAGCCCTGCGATTCCGGTGCAGCGCTCTAACTGATGAACGTCATTCAAGTCCACCTTATCACAACCCGCACACCCAATTACCTATATATACATGAACTTACGGTTACAGCTCAACAGCTGGCCTCTGTAGCTCATTAAACAAACAATGCTACGTTAACCGAAAAGAAAATGAAAAATTTAATGTGCGGAAGTTATTTTGATGTAAAGCCGTAAAACCCCCCTCCTACTTACCCCCGCCCCAACTCGCCAACAATTTTGGGAAAAGAAATATAAATTAACTTTTGAAATGAGTCTGCAAAATTTTCACTTACACACCCTCCCCTTTTTCAAAAAGGAATAGCGCCTCCCTTGGGGACAGGTAACTGCGAGGTCCTTATCGAGGCTTGGCCCCAGTAGTTGTAATCTCTTAAGTTAAAAAATGCCCTGATTTCTTTTCCCCAAATTGTTGGGGAGCAGGGGGGGGGGTAAAAAGATTTGTGGACACAGCATTTTTCAGTAACTTTCGAAATAATTTACCGCAATTTGTAAAATTTTTCAGTAACATTTTCGTACATTTATCGAAATTTTTCCTACAACTATTACTTTTCAATCCGAAACACCCAAATATTTTCAAAATTTGCCCGACGAAATTGTACGGATATATCCGACGAGATAGAGATTGTGGGGAGTGTCACCCCCACCTCCCCCCCCGGTAGTTTCGCCCCTGTGATGACCACCATACGGCTTGCACCATACGGTTTACTGTGGATGAATTACTCCAGTTCAATAGAATTTAGCCCGCGTGCAGGCCCAAGGGAAGAATAGTGGGCCTGCAAGCAAGGCTCGGTATTTTGTAGTTTCCGCGTTCGCCCACGAACGCAGCATTCTGATTGGCTGTTTGCTGTTGGATTCTATAATTAGATCAGTGATTCATCACAAAGGCTCTCGATAAGCTTAAAATTCGAAAATTGATCACTTTTTTCGACTAAAATTAAAATGGAACAAGAACAGACTGTTTATTCAAAAATATTGTTTACTTGAAGGAAGACATGTTTTTGCCGTTATGCCAATGGGGATTGCTTGTCGTGAAGTGTTGGAATAGCAACATTACGACTGGGGTAAACTAAAGTAACCTTTACTTGAGTTTCATTAATTTCAAACAGACTTGATACGAAATATGTGTTTCAAGAAAATTACCTTCAGGTTGATGTTGACTCTGTTCTTGCACTGAAGAAAACAGCGCTTTTCGCGGTGAAGATTTAGAGGCAGTTGCATGTATGCCTATTTACCCTGGTTCCAGAGGTTTATTTTTATTATTTTCATTGCGAAGGGGAGAGGAAAAATAAACCTCTGGTTGAAAGCGGCAATTGATTCATCGAGCCGCGCCAATCAATTTGAATTAGGGTCAGATCCTGACTCTGTCCCCTGATTGGATGATTGTATTAAAGCTCTCTGATTGATTCAAATAAATCATCTATAACCAGTCAGAGAGCTTTAATACAATCATCCAATCAGGAGACAGAGTCCGGATCTGACCCTAATTCAAACTGATTGGCGCGGCTCGATGAATCAATTGCCGCTTTCAACCAGAGGTTTATTTTAAACCTCTGGAACCAGGGTAATGCCTATTCGAAACACTTTGCGATTTGCAAGGCTTCGCTGAGAGAGCGAAACAGAATACGGTAATTGCCGTTTGAAACGAAACGATCTGGACGCTCTGAACGCTCTCTTCTTTTGTACAGTTCTTTACCAAATGAAATAACTGAAATTTTCGTACTTTCCGTCGCCAACAAGAATTGCACACACGATCTGATAAGTGAGCTGACAATTTATTTATAACAATGGCCACAGCGAAGCACACATTAATGCTAATGTGGTCGCAGGACTTCCCTCACGATTTGAAGTTTGAGACCGGTTTTCTGTTGAAATTCGTCCTAATTTGCCTGTTCCGATTTTAGTTGAAAATGAGCACTTGCAAATTTGGCAAATACTGACTGCGTTGCTTGCTTTTATGGAGTTAAAACAAACATTTACACATTGTTTCTGTTCTGGCAGAGAAAACCCCGCAACAGTTTAATGCGAGTTTGTTTGTTAATATTTGGGTTGCTGTCATTGGTTCATCCACTTCGGCTAGTTCCTCGGGTAGAAGAGAACTGATCACGTGATCGGCTAGTTGTGTTGTTTGTGCCGTCAGATATAACCCAATCTCTAATCCTTAATCTAACCCTTACCCTAAACCTAACCCTAACCTCAACACTAATCACTATAACTAACTGATGACGTAATCTGTGATGCAATTCTACCCGAGGAAGTACCCTCCACTGGCTGACTTCTAATTAGCCATTCCGAAGTTGATGAGAGGACTGGGGACGAGTGTTAAAAATTATTAAATTAAGAAATGGACGGCAAATCACTAAAAAGACCACCTCAGAATTAGCAAGTATACAAAGTTTGAAGACGTTTACATGAATACCCTTCGAATAACAAGCTTTTGAAAATCGCGATATTTACCATGAAATGTATTGTAATTTGTGTTTTCAGGGACGCGCGTCCCCAAAACAATCTTTTAATCCAAGTAATTTCACAATTTTCGAAAGCTTATTATTCGAAGGGTATTCATGTAAACGTATTCAAACTTTGTATACTTACTAATTTTGAGGTGGTTTTTTTAGTGATTTGTTTGATTTCTTAATTTGGGCACTTTTTAACACTCGTCCCCAGTCCACTCATCAACTTCGCAATGGCTAATTAGATGCAAGCACTCGCTACGAGGAGCTTCGTGCGAGGACTGGACCGCTTTACAGTAACAGGGGTATTAAAAAAATTAGACGTCGTCCAAGCTCTGTTGACAACGGCAAAATGTATATTTTCACGTCTTGTATAGTGCGCTAGCATTGCACAACGTGACAGGTAGGTTTTCTAGCTGAGTTGATCAACATTGCTCGGAGGGTTAAAGCTCTGTTTTACTCGTTCGAAACTATTTTAAATTCATACAAAAGTAAATACAAGACAAGATTTTCATACAATCATTTGTTTCAAACAGTTTGTTTAGCCGTCGTCCTGACGTCGCCGTCTTATACATTAGTAAACTCCCTAACATATGTTATGTTGAAGGAGTCACATTACGAACGTTTTAAAAAATTTAATCGGATGCGTGATGGCGCCTACCATCCGCAACCAATCAATATTATTCTGAAGAGATTGTTGACTTCCCTTCTTCAAAACGAGTCAATTTTTGATAATTAAAAAATAATCGTGTATGTGTTTTGTTGATAATTTTAAATATAGAAAACGGGAACTTTTCTAAATCTTGACGACTATCAAGGCCTCTTCACATCAGTTACGCGTTTTTCATACGTTCATCATGCGTACTAATGGTACTATATACTTATGTATATAACTGATGTAAAGGGGCCTTGATAGTTGATAGTCGTCAAGATTTAGAAAAGTTCCCGTTTTCTGTATTTAACATTATCAACAAAACACATACGCAATTATTTTTAATTATCAAAAATTGACTCGTTTTGAAGATTGAAGGGAAGTCAACAATCTCTTCAGAATAATATTGATTGGTTGCAAGCGGATGGTAGGCGCCATCACGCATCCGATTAAATTTTGTAAAACGTTTAAAATACATTCGTTGATATACCCCCTTCCCCCGTAATGTGACTCCTTCAACATAACATATTATGTTAGGGAGTTTACGAATGTAAGGCGGCGACGTCAGGACGACGGCTAAACAAACCGTTTGAAATAAATGATTGTATGAAAATCTTGTCTTGTATTTACTTTCGTACGAATTTAAAATAGCTTCGAACGAGTAAAACAGAGCTTTAACACTCCGAACAACGTTGATCAACTCTGCTAGAAAAACTACCTGTCACGGCGTGCAATGTTAGTGTATAATACAAGACGTGAAAATATACATTTTGCCGTTGTTAGAGCTTGGACGACGTCTAAAACCCCTGTTAGACTTTTAAATTTAATTATTAATTTCTTTTGTACTAAGGGATTAATGTCATTGTATTGATAGCCGTCGTCCTGACGTCACCGTCTCACATTCGTAAACTCCCTAATGAATGAATCCTTGAACATATTAACTCAGTAAGTATGTAATTAGGGTATTAGTGTAAAGCGCTGTTATACTTGCGTTTATACGTATCATTAAACGTCTAAAACGTTTGATACCAAAATTAATTTTAATAAGCAAGATTTTGCATGTTCTGACGTCAATTAGCCTCCTCCGCGGGAATCTCGTGGTACTTCAGGACCTTCAGCTTTAGAAAGTCGATGCGTGCGGAGGAGGCTAGACGTCAATTAAAACACAGTTTATAGACTAAGACTATAAACTGTGATTAAAATTAACTCCTTGAACCTTGCCTTGGACTTTGAAATGAGTGCGTGTGGCCGGACCCAATGACAATGTTGAGGAATTTGCGTTTTGCGTAATTCGGTGACAATCTTCCGAATATAAACTCTGTTCGATTTACCAGGCGGAAAACGCATCCTCAGTTATCCTCAGCATAGAAAGCAAAGTTCTGCATGCGGAATAATTATAAATATTGTCATCACATTACATATCAAATTTAATTTTTCGTTCCGTTACACAGCCGACGAACGTATTCAACTGTTATTTACTAAAACTAGAAGTTACTATCGCAAGGTAAAGTGCTGCTATTACCGCTGAGTAGCATGAGTTGCTTTTGTTTAGGAGACTCAACCACTGAAATATATATACATGGAAAGATAGCAAATTATGCATCTTGGTAAAACTTTGCAAAGTATCTCAAATTTGGCAAAATTCACCTTGGTTTACGTTAGCTCGCAGCCATACAAATTTATAGTAATTTGTATCGCTCCGTGTCCCCGGAAGTGATTTTCTTCCTACATAATTTGGCTTCACTTTTTTGACACCTGTCGAGTGTAGAAGATACAGGTATATGCAGTGTACTATTAGAGTTTATATATCTGTATATGCACGGAAAATGTTTTATATTTGTTAAATATAAAACGATGCACAGCGTTAGAAAGGCATCCACTTCTGACTTCTTAGACTGCAAAAATAAGGTCGAATAACAAATTGTCTGATAAATACTGCAGGGGTAATAAACGCTGATATGTCTGCAAAAAAATCTTGTTGCAAGCGTAAAAAGCGCGTCCGACCACGACAAGAAGGTATCCAATGCGACGGGTGTGATGAATGGCAACACAGAACGTGCGATACACGAATTTCGAGAGAGGACTACAGGGAATCTGTCCGATCTGGCGAACGGATTGACTGGCGGTGCGAAGATTGCCAGTTCAATGACATGTGTGCTGGATTTCGTCTTCTTAACGTTAACGCTGAGAGTGAAGCAGTTGTACGATATCAAGAGTTGATCAACACTTCCCTCGCAACAGTTAATGAAAACATTTTGGGTTAGTGTTTCAATTTGTTAACACATGCAGTACATATTTCGGGTAGACAAATGTTATAAGAGAACAAATTATGTAAAACACACTCTTTCAAATAAAGGAGTTGATGTGTGGAACAAATTAGAAACAAATCTGAAAGACATAAATTTCTATAATACCTTCAAGAAACTAATTAAGCAACAATTTATACTAAATCCAGTTACAAATACATAGATTCAGAAATCACACTTTCTTTATGCAGGCAATGTCTGTCCATGCATTGTCATTGTGCAAAAAAATACCATATAATAATCTAACTAGTATATCTCTATAACTTAATATTGTAAACACTACAGTATTTACCCTTCATACCTCAAATTTGTAAATATCTTGTATATATACCTTGTAAAACGTTTCTTCTGCATTTAATATTATCTTAAAAATTACTGTAAATAATAAAATAATCTAAATAGGACACGACTAGTGGCCTAGAAACAAAAGCCTGTAAAGGTTTCTAGTAGGTCTCTAGCCCAAATAGTTAATTTGTAATAATGTATTAATAATTGTAATGTACATGGGAAAATAAATTTAAAACAAAAAATGGAACAGCGAAACTTGGGAAATAAAATTTTATTTTAAACGACTGTCAACAAACTCTTTGACAACAACAAAATCAAAATTATCTGCACTCCCCCCCCCCTCAAATCTCCCCCTCCTCCCTAATTTTCTTCCCACCTTGCTTACTGTATAGCGCTTTAAATAAAACACTCTCCCCATATTAGAGCGCTCCCGACGCATGCGATCAAGTGTAATGCGTTCTGTAATATCAAGAATACCCATATCACATACGTGTTTTTCAATGGGATCCTACATCGAAAATACAATCATTTACAATATTTAAACGTATTGCAAAGACAAGTACGTACATGCACTACAACAATAATGATAAAAACAATTAATTCATATATATTATAAGTCATTATAATATATAAATAACTAATTCATGTTTTGTGTCTAGCCTCTAAGTCTAAATGAATCGTGAATACGCATAAAAAAATAAGATAAAAGTTCTCGAATCAGCTTTCCTTTTTCGTTTTAAGAATCAAGCATGGCAGCCTGGAATATAACACTATGGAATAGAACCGGATCGAAAGTTGATATGATGATTTTTCAAACCATGCCAGATGTATTCATATACGGCAGTTATTTTGCGGCTTGGAAGGTTGAGGAAACACCAAATCCTGGAAATATTCGTCTAGAATTGCCAGAGACATTTGAGTTCTGCGTGATTGAAGAGGATGGAAGACAGACGGGTCCTCTTTCAGTCAACTACGGCGACGAAGTCAAAGTTTCACAACCTACTGCTGCGAATGCGCCAACCGTAACGATCAATTTTAATAAAAATATCCCAAAAGACCGAATCAAGGTGATCAACTTAAGCGGTAATGCGCAGCCACTAGAAATGGCTTTGTTTAAACAAGACAGTAAAGTGGTCTTCTACAAGGACATTGTGCCTAACTCATTCGTATTTATGGCCATAAAACCGAGCGTCTACATGGCAGTCGTTGGCCCGGTCAAACAAGGGCAAGAATTTCTAGCAAATGTCTTTGTTGATAAGAAAATCGTACCGAAATCTTATCACATTGACCAAGTTGTTGACGGTGACGAAGAGGACGCATATCCAGTCCAAGCAGAGTCTACTGATGAAACTGTCGAATGTTACATAAATGTCCAAACGGC